CCAGTTAGTGATTGGTGGGATGTTCTATAGATGTCTGTTAAGTCCATTTGATTAATAATATATTTTTTTTAGTTCTGAATAGTCTTTACTTAATTTATGTCTGGATGACCTATCTATTGGTGATAGAGGTGTGTTGAAATTATCCAGTATTATTGCACTTGATATGTTTGATTCTTTATCTCAAGTAGAGTTAGGGGTTCTTTTATGTATGTATGTAGTTGCACTGACATTTGGGATACAAATATTTGTAATTATTACATTTCATTGTTGGATGATTCCCTCAACCAGTATGAGGGTTTTTTTTGTTTTTGTTTTTGTTTTTTAATTTGGCTCAAAGTCTACTTTGTTAGACATAAGAGTAGCTATTCCTGCTTGCTTTTGGTCTTCATTTGCCTGGTGTAACTTTTCTTCATCCTTTCACCTTCATTCTGTGGATGTCTTAGCCTGTAAGGTAAGTCTCTTAATGGTAACATAAGGTTAGCTCTTGTTTTTTGATCTATTTGCCAATCTATGTCTTTTGATGGAGTGTTTAGACCATTTATATCTAGTGTGATTATAGAGAGATAATTTCTAATTTCCTTACCTTTTTATTAATTTATGATGCTTAATCTAGACTTAATTCTTCTTGATTTTACTATTCTTCTAGTGAGATTCATCTGTACACTGACTCTGATATTTATTTTATATTTCTATTCTGAATATATCATTGATGATATTTTATGGTGCTGGTTTAGTGGTTATGAATTCTTTTAGTTGCTACTTATCAAAAAAGCTTTTATTTCATCTTCAATTTTGAAGGATAGTTTGGCTGGTTATAGCAATCTGGGTTAGAACCCATTATCATTATCTTGAAATCATATATACCAAGCCTTCTTGGCTTTTAAGGTCTGGACTGAGAAATCAGTACAAATCATAATTGACTTACCTCTAAATGTGACTTGTGATTTTTCTCTTGCAGTTTTTATAATTCTGTTTTTGTTCTGTATATTAGGAGTTTTAATTATAATGTGTCTTGGAGAGGATCTTTTTTGATCTTGTTTATTTGGGGTTCTAAATGCATTTTATATTTGGATTTCCATCTTATTTCTAAGGTTGGAAAATTTTTCTGTTGTTATTTCATTGAACAATTTGTGCATTCCTTTAGTTTGTATTTTCTTTTTTTTTATGTATGCCAATGATTCTTAGATCTGGTTTTTATTCCAATTTCTTGAATATTCTGGTCATGGTCCCTTAACATCTCTTCTTTATTGCTGGATTTTTTTTTTAAGATCATGTACTTTATCTTTGAAGCCTGAGAATCTGTCTTCAAAGTGGTCTAAGCCATTGGTGATGCTTTCAAATGAATTTTTAATTTGATTTTTTAAGTCTTTTGTTTCCAGTATTTTTGTTTCATTCTTTTTCATAATCTCTATATCTTTATTGAAATGCTCTTTTATTTCCTGTATATTCTTTCTTAGTTTGTTCCTTATATCTCCTTTTTGTTCATTTAACATTGTAATTCTCAACTTTCTAAATTCTTTTTACACAAACACCATAAATAATCTGCTACAAGCAGAAGGGGAGGATACAAAATGCCACAATACCAAGCCATTGATGGCTCCATGCAAGAATCCCTTGGAAAAAAATTATACCAGCAATGACAACCTGGCATTTTGATGCAGCCAGACTGCGGCAAAAACAAAAAAATAAAAAATAAATAAAACAAAGAAGTCACTACCTCTTCAAAAAATAGGAAAAAGGAAAAGTAGCAAAATTTGGTATGACAAAATGTTGGGGGGTGGCCTTAGAATCATAGGTGTATCATAGTCACATATGTATGTACATGAATCAGCAAATACAGTTAGAACAACTAAAATATCTATAATAAAACAGAAAAAAGCAAAAATTCTTAATTAAAAAGGCTTAAAGTTTTCCACTGAGGTAGCTGAAGTTGAGAATTTACATCCTCTTTCATGCTGTTTTCTGACCTTTACTTCTTGGGTTACTTGGGTTATATGCCTCTGATAGAGAGCAAGGGCTGGGTGATACAGAAACTAACCTACTTTTGTGATTTTTGCCACTCTTCCTGCAGAAGTAGATTGGCAGTCTAGTGGGTTGAAGTGCTTCTCAACTTCTGTATTCCCACTGAAGGGGGTATGGAGCTAGAAGTACCTTCCATTGGGACTTTTTTTCTTTTTTTTTTTAAGACTTTTTTAAAAAAATTTGTTTTAATTAGTTACACATGACAGTACAATGACTTTGACATATCATACATTTGGATCAGATGGGATGTAATATCTCATTTTTCTGAGTATACAGGTTGCAGAATCACATTGGTCATGCATTCACATATATACACACAGTAATAATAATGTCTGTTTCATTCTACTATCCTTCCTATCTGCCCCACCCTTCCCCTCCCCTCCCATCACTTCTCTCTACCTAATCTAGTCCATTGATATTTTTGTCTGCATGTCTTAGATCACTCATCTTCCTGGTTGGAAATGGTGCATAGATCTAATCTAAATGGAACATTGGAACTTTGTTTGGAGTGTGTACTATACAAGGCTTAAATCCTTGTACCAGGGGGACTGAGTTGAAGTCAACTTCAACTGGGCATCTGGGTGTTTAATGTCTCCCTCAGTTTTACTTGTGAGGCAGAGTGACAGACACATGATATGTGATAGGTTTCCTGTAGCCTGCCCACACTAAAACATGAATTTCTAAGTTTATGTCTCAAAATGTAATTATGCCCACCTGATCATTCTTCACCATCCCTTTCAGCTGGTCATAGGTATGGCAATGCTCAAAGGGAGAGCAGGATGCACACTCTTCTGTACCTCTGTTTTGAGTCCCCCTGGATCCACTATTCTCTATAATCATTTTGGGATTGTGATTTTTCTAGGTATCACACAGTAAGCACTAGCTGAGACAGGGTGCAAGTATCAATTAAGGACTCTTGGGTTCCCATAGGAACAAGATTCAGCATCAATTCTGGAGCTTGACCTCCACCTCTGTTCTTCACTTAGACAATGAGAAATACGTTGCACATTCTGCATATCAAATTTGTTGATTGTGTTTCTCTTTCCCTTTGTGTTGCCACTCACTTTGGGTATCTACCAGACACAGGTACATTTCATTATAAGGATGGTTCACTATACCAGTAACTTTGGGTTTCTCTGAATCTCTGACAGAAAAATGATATATAACAGTTTTCTTCAGACAGACCCCTTGTTAAAAAGCTGTGTCTCTACTGTTCAGATTCCAAACAGCAGAGCAGAAGTGCCTTCTTCCTCTACTCTGCCATCTTATGATCCTTCTATCTGGATATATTTAAACAGAAATCTCAACATAGAACCTCTTTTTGAGATAATAGAATAATCTTCCAAACCAAATGCAAACCCAAGTCAAACCAAACATAGAAAACACTACAGATTGAACTCACGAAATAACTTGCTAAAACCAGTGTGCTTTATCTCTTTGTGTAAGATATCAAGGGAAGTTGTGAGGACAAAGGAAAAAACAGGTCTATTTCTTTTCTGTGTGTCAATGAGTAAAGATGTGTAAAGCTACCTGGAGTGTACGTTTTCAGTGTGTATGTCTATGATTTGTAGATTTACTTTTGTAGATTTACTCTAAATACTCTTTATTGTTTCCCAGGAAATTTTCAGTGTATTTATTTATTTATTTTTGCCTTTATCCTGTCTGCATCAAGATCCACTAACATAATTCTGAGAAATGCAAATACACAAGGAAGAGAATAAATTCTCTGTTACAGACTTTTCTGTTTTGTAACCTCAAAAATGCAACAATGCATAAAGCACCATCACCTGGAAACACAAAAGAGAGCCACATCAAACATTCTGTTCTACTTTTTCTTCTATTTAGCACAGCAATATCCTTTATAGCTAGTGCTCTAGTCTGTTGCACATCTTTTCTGAGGAATGCCTGGGAATTTCTGGGTTCCTCTCCCCACATTTTTTTTAAGCTCTCCTCATGTCTTCTTATCTTTCTGTTTATAACTTCTCTCTTATCCTTGCTGTGTGGTTGAGTTGAAGGGTGGAGCTATAAGACCTACAAATGAGTGTTTTGGAGTGTTGTAACAAGATTTTATTTTTTGATAGTTTTGAGTCATACTATATTGACTTGATAAGGTGTTTTTGTTTGTTTGTTGTTTGTCTTGGTGCTAGGGATTGAACCCAGGGCCTTGTGCATGTGAGGCAAATACTCTACCAACTGAGCTATATCCCCAGCTTTTGATAAGGTATTTTTGTTGTTAATGAATAAAACATGTGCTTTTGAATTAGATAAATCTAAATTTCAATTCCAGTTCAACAATTTATCCCCAGTAATTTTGAGCTGTTGAGGGCCACAACTAAGTTAAGATGGTGCCTGGCAGTATGCCAGGAGGAGTGGTTTGTGAGCCAAAGCCAGCGAGCCATTAAGATGATGAGGATTCCTTAATGACTGACTGCTATGTCTAGATGATGTCAATTAAGTTAAGCTGTGTGTAATTAGTTGGGTATATGTACCTCTGCAGTCTGGCAGAGAAGTGGCTCCTGCTGCCCTGGGTGCTGGCTGTTTTGAGTTCTCAGTTCCTGCTGAGTTCACTTGCAATAAAGTAGTTCCTGTTTCAACCTTCAAGTTTCTTGTCACCTCTCAGTTATTTTGCCCAGCCGGACTTAGGCATTGAGAAAATTGCTTAATTTCTCTTAGCCTCAATTTCCTTATTTTTAAAAAGAAGTAGATAATAATAACATTAATTTTGTAGGGTTGTTGAAGGTGTTCAATGAAATTGTGTATGTAAAGCACATAGCACACTGCCTGGCACATAGTTGGTGCATAACAAATGGTGGGTATTATTCTGTTTCTACTTTAGGAAAACATAATAACAATCTTCATACAAATTCTTCAAATTTCATTGACTATAAATGGTCTCTGTATATTTCTGATGATTCCTAACTATGAATCAAGTTTACCTCTTGTTTCCTCTACCACCTCACCCTCCAACTCCAACTTACTTTGGGAAGTTACTTTCTCTGGAAAGATGAAGATGAGCTTCTGAGTTTCATGATCACTGCAAATAGAGTGGGAAGGAGACAAAATGCTCTCTCGCCATGAAATTCTTATGTAACTTGCCACATTCCACTGTCTTTTAGTCTTCCACCTCCCCAGAGTATTACTGCTGAGGAAAAACTATCTTTAATGACAAACATGGGAACAATGTCTGCTATGAAGTTCTGGACAAAGAATGACATAACTTTTCTAACCTCAAAGTCTTCAATCCACCCAGGCTTAGACATTTATATAAACTCATCAACTTGAAAGAGAAAAGCTTTGTATGACTCTCTTGAGAAAATCTTCTTAGGTACCTTGTTCTTCCAGGTGATTATACTATAAAATTTTCAATAGATTTCCTCTTCCATTTGCTAGAAATAAAGTTTAGGCAGGATGTCCAAAATTTAGCTCCCATCAGGGGCACTATTGAATTTTACACGGATTAAAGAAGTGTCAGCTTGCAAAATGTTTGTGACTGAACACACAGAGGAATTGAGAACAATATGAAAGATTTGGCAGATAATGTTTATAATTTCAAACTATCTAAGATGGGGGTAAACCAAATTAAAAAAAAAAAATCTTTGTTCTCTTCTGGGCCTTCAGGATACATACCTGTTATACCTGCATTGTCCTAAGCATGTCTCAGGGGGGTATGATTTTGGAACAAGGTTTAAACAAACCAGCTTTCTAATAAACCTTCCCTTTGCATTTTGTAGCCTCGTATGATGAGTGAATGGCTACCAAACATCATCCTGTTACAAGAGGAAGGTAACAGGAAGGTTGGGTTTCAAGTCCTCATTGGAGAAACACTATAAAACATAGCCTACCAAACTCATCAGATTATAGAATTATCTTAATTTAAATAGTGCATATTTTTAAAAACCATTGTGTTTAAATCTATGTAGGATTAATAATTAAAAACAATACTATTCATATATATTCTCACATATCCATAGAAAATAGTTAGAAGGATAGCCAAGCAACTGTTAAGAGTAGTCTCTCCTTAGGGTTTGGTACAGAAAAGGAATTTTATTTTTCACTTTATACTCTTGCATTGTGTGAATTTTTACTCTATCCCTAGATAAAATATATATGTATATACAAACATATGTACAGTTACATATCAGTTTATGAAAATGATATAAACACACATGTATAGTATATAATATATATGGTCTGAAATTTAAATAAATTTAAATAAATTCAAAGTGAACATTATATACCTCATATATCCCTGTTCTTCAAAGTCTTCAATAATCTTTCTCTGTGGGATATTTAAGATCATATTATACTTTTGTTGTATGCATCTCTGTTTTCTTCCCTCCTTTCTTTTACATTGCACTTACCTTTTAAATTTTTATTTTAATTTGTTATATATGACAGCAGGATGCAATTCAATTCATAATATACAAATAGAGCACAATTTTTCATGTCTCTGGTTGTACACAAAGAAGAGTCACACCATTTGTGTTTTCATACATGTACTTAGGGTAATGATGTTTATCACATTCTACAATCTTTCCTACCCCCCC